GGGGGGGGGGGGTCTGGGTTTGGGGTTCTGTTTATTGCATTTATGATTCAATGTAAAAAAAATACACATTTAAAAGGTAACAGATCATTTTAATACTTGGTTTATTTACATAATGACTTTAATTGATGGATGTCTGACCCCTGAGCTGCTGGCTTTCAGTAACTGTGACCCCCCCTGAGCAGTTTAGTTGAATAGTCCTGCTTTAGAGGGTGGAATACAGTTGATTCCATTTCCAAAACCTAAACTGAGTCTGGAAAAATGTAAAAGATGATAAAGCCCTGCGGATGACTTCATGAGCAGCTGAATACAACAGTGATAAACAGGAAGTACGACATGTTCATCTGTATGAAGGCAACTGCAAGTAAATCCTCCATTTTCTGTCATAATTACATTGCATCTTTAATGGTTAAATTAAAGGTTAATGCTTAAAGCTAGTTGTGCTTTGTTTTGTGTCTTGTATGTATGTTGCAACTTCTGGTTGCATGAGTTTTGTCTTTATTTGTCATGATCAGGTAACACTAAACTGATTTTGTACAAAGCATTTATTAGGTTGTGTAATGTAAGGCAGAGCGCTACATCTGTAGCATCTTAGCTAGCACGTCTGTATTCCACGCTGCTAGCTTAGCGCTACTTCTTGTTGTGCCGAGCTCTCTAAAATAGTTATTGAATCAAGTGTTTACTTATGTAGGTAAACATAGATGTTTAACAACCCGTTAAAATGCAATGCAGGAAATGACATCCAGTTTATTTAAAATTTTCTGGGGGAGGACCCCCAGACTCCCCCCCCCCCTGCCCCCCCCCCCCCCCCCCCCACACACACACACACACATTATGAATGCTTCTGATGTCAATGGCCACCACGTTGTTCAGGCCAAGAGCCATTGTCAGCACTGGGGGCTAAGCACCCCTAAAGGGCAGATTCTAGAATCGCCCCTGCACGAATCATTGAGCGAAGTCTGAGCAAATTCTGTCACGTATCTGTTTCATAAGAAGCTTCGGATCAAATCACATGTGGGAATGAATGGAACTACTGTATATTAAGGTTTGTTTTAAATCACAAAATAGTCAGGACTAGGATTCCTGTCTAACAGTAAAACCTGGAGAGGTGATCCAGCAGCCACACAGCTCAACAGACCAAATCTCTTGCCTGACAGGTTTTGGAACGCCAACTAAAAACTTTCAAACACAGAATTAGCTGAATCACTTGAGTGAAGCATCTCCAAATGCACGACAACACAAGGAGGAGAACAGTTTCGATCTTTCAGCAAGGAGGCTTTGGGGAATATGCTACACAGGAAGTGTTTTAATACATAGCAGTCAGCACAGTTGTACAGGGAATACATTGATGTGTGGGGTGCTAATAGATCGTTCGCTTCTTAAGCGCTGTCCTCTGGGTGTGTTTTAAAAGTTTCACAGCACCTGTTTTGCACAAAGTACTGGTCTAAATCAAGAATAAAAGTGATAATAGTGAGTGCACTACAATGGTCTAATTATTGAATAAAGAACAACAATAATAGGAAGCTGAAGCAAATGATGGTAAAATAACTGGGGATGCCTCTGACCTACAATGAGTCACATCCGCCTGAGGCACTGATAGCATTCAGCCATCAAATATCAAAAGGCCAGCTGTGAGTAATGCATCAGCCTACGTACAACAGCCGAAGCACTGATGGTCTCCAGCAGAGAGAGGGTGGCAACTTCCTATTTTTAGAAAAAGCAATAATAAAACACTCTGCTCAAAGTTTAAACTGCTGCACACATGGGCAGGTTTGAAACTGTCGCTGAGCTACCGCGGAAGGATGCTATAAAAGCGCATGTGTTTACAGGTAAAAGGTGTGCGTATTAGTGGATAATTGTGCAACTAGAAATTTGAAAACTCTTGAATTAGTCAAATAGTTTACAAAAGCGTACTGTCCAGTTCCTCCGTGAGAATTCATCTTAAAATGAAACAACTTCAAGAATTTTTACAAACAACGCTCAAGTTTGCATGTGCGGTTTCTCCTTTATGAGCATGAAGGGGAGTAGTGGTGTCGATGCATTCTTTACTCCACTGATAATGTAAAAAAATAGTGGGTTAAATATGCATTATAGACTACAATATGCACAAGTGTAAACTTGTCGGCAGAAAAACTGCATGCAAACAATATAAATACAAAACATTTTAATCCGTTGGTAGGATGCTTGAACATTTGATATCTGGCAACCCTGAACTGCTCACTTCCCTTTATGTCCATAAAGAAAAACTACAAATGCAAACTTGGGCTTTGTACTTAATTCATATTAGAAGTTGTAACTTCTTCGGCTGTATCCTCACAGAGACTACAAATATTCTCCAGAGATTAATTATTTTCACAGCAAGAGCCTGTAGAGTTTCTGCAATCCACACTCTGGAGGCTGAAGCACTTTGCATTGAGGCGATCAGGCATTCAGGCGTGCTGCTGCTTATTTACCTCTGCCTTCGCTCGTCCCCATGAAGGAAAGTATTGATTCTGGAAAGATATATTGCAGCAAAGCAACAGGACTATTCATTAATTTAAAAATACTTAGGTGATTCTTATTCTTTGAGTTCAAACGCTCACAAATCCACGTGTCTGGAAGTGCTTTGGAAAGTTTGGCAGTGGCTGTCAAAACACGCAGCGTTCTTTTAGCACTCAACAGCTCTTCAGAACATTTTCCATTGATACCCGATACCTGCGCTTAGGCCGGGGGGGCTGCAACCTCCCTGTTCTTTACGGCTTTGACCAAAACTAACATGGGAATGAGTTTTTATATTTAGAATTTAAAAATACTAGCTTTAGTAGTTTTCCTCACACATGCGATATGCAAATAAAATTTCTGCCACATAATTATACAAGGAGCACAACAGACTGTTCCCTGTAGAATCCGTCAGAAATGTCTATTTTTTCTGCACATTGATGCAAGTTGCTTGGAGAAAAAAAGTGCAGTTTTGCACTCATATCACTAAACGATAATTGAATGGGCCATCTGCAAAAAAATATGACGGGTCATTCTAATTACAATGAGAATTAAGAGTCAAGATTTGCCTTTAATTAAAAAAAAAATACTAACTAAATTAACGTTTCTGGCTTTAGAGTAAATTCAGTAAGTCTCAAATAAATATTCAGTAAACTGACTATTTTTTTTGTTCACTCTGTATAATTTAATATTTCTACATGTGATCCTTATAATAACTTCTCACATACAGTAGATGTATTTTTATCAAAGGGATTCTTCTTCATAAGTTTGAACAATTCCCTTTCTCTAACATAGCAAGCATCAACAGTTGCTTAGTTCTTTTATTCCAAAGTGTAACAAACTAATTGTTTCATGTACTATTTTTATAAAATGTAATGCTCTGGTCAAACCATTTTTAGAAAGAGCAGAAATGTATATTTTAGCTGTAAAGGCTGCAGACTTAGACAATCTGCTTGTCGGATTAGTGATAATGAAAAGGCTTCAGCTGGTGCTGATGGAATGAAATGCTTCTCCTGGAGTTATGGCAACATAGAGATCTACATCCCAGTCTAGGACCAGCAGCCTGCAGGAGAGGATCAAGTACCTGTCATCGTAGCAGAAATCTGCGCCCAGAGTGTTGGCATAGAGGACCAGAGCCACGGCGCCACACAGCAGTTCGGCAAACATCTCTGGCGCGCGCAACCACCGGGGTACAAAAAAATAAAAAAACAAGACTGAACAGAAATATGAGGAAAACAAAACGCGAGACAGAGGATCCGGGTTTCTAGTCCCTCTCAGTCCCGGTCTTTGTCAGGCTGTCTCTGCGAAACCAAGTCCATTCTGTCCCCGTCCACCATCACCGAGGCGCACGCAGTGGATGATCCATGCGCGCTCCTCTAACCCATGTTGTCTGACAGCTTTCCTCCCCGCTGGGAGCTGGACACAGAATAAACCACGAGTGGAGTCAGCGGATCTGTGACAACATCCTGCACGCCTCCCCGACTCGAACACACACTCACACGCGCGCGCGCGCGCAGCTCGCTGGCTGCTGCCGGAGCAACGTCGGGACTCAACCCGGAGTCAAGATTATTACTGTGATTCAAACAACATCCGGTAAGACTTTCAAAATAAAACTGCCCCTTTTTTTTTTTTTTTGCTTTAATCGAAACGATGCGTTTCTTAAATTCTCCCAATTTTTAGAATAAATATATTCTATTCTTAAACTGGGCTTAATTTCTAAGGATTAGACTACCAAAAAAAGTTTTTAAACTAGAATTTGATGATATGTATAGTTGTACAGCCCCTTTCAGCCAACCAGATAATGTCCTCCTTTTTCCTACACACCTATTTATAACTAAATAAAAAGCTAACTATAAAGCAGAAACATGTGCAAAGTTGAGTCAATCCGTGCATTTTAAGCAAGCTTTTTACGTTAACAATTAACATTCTTACTTTTTGGCTGGATCATCTTAGATGATCATCTTAGATCATTCAAATATAATTTATCTAAAAATGTATTATGTGGACACAAATTCTAATTCCACCCATAAAGACTAATGTAGCCTGAGGTACGTTTTCTTACCGCTTCTTGACTTTTCTTGTGAAATAAACTTAGCTTTATATCCGCTCCTCTGTGTCGCATGTGAGCAAACTTGACGCAGTTGTGATCCCAAACGCGTGTGGCGACGTGAGCTCCTGCGCATGCGCACGCCCAGTACTCGAGGCAGTAGGGGGTGAATTTCTATTCTACATAATGCTGCGCCCCTTGGATAGGTTCACTTACAACAGTAAAGAGAGTTTGGTGTTTTACTCTTGTTTTATTTTTATTTCTGTGAGATGGAGTCACTGATCAATACTTCTGGAATGTACTCCTCCTCCCCAAAAATACACAAAAAAAAATAATTAAAAAACAGGTTGTTCTGGTTAAACAACAGAGTTCTGTTTTTTTAGCATACATTTACTGAGTTTAGGTTTGTAGGACTATGTGTGCTGGTTTACTATTCTTAAATTTTTTACTCTTATATTTGGCAAATGCAATTTATTCAGTCAATTGTAAAAGAAATCTGGCTCATCGTTTGGAAGAAGGCCAGCCACTGTTAGCCTAAATGCAAATATTGATGCAGCCCAGTTAGTGTCAGTTTTAAAAAAAGAAGAATGTATTCTCTTTTTTTAGTTTATAAACTGTGTGTTCAGTTTTACAGTCTATGTTCCTGGTTTTGCAAACTCTGCACACGGATTTGTAAACTGTGCTCTCTGTTTGGTAAACTACATGAATTGATTTCTAAAACTCTGTTAAAGACAAACAAAATCTTTTGGGATTCATTTTTTTCTTCCATTTGCCCTTTATTTATACAGGTATTCTCACTGAGCCACAATAACTTATTTTCAAGAGAGACTTGTTTAGGGAGCAGATGGTGGGGGTTGGGGGCCTTACTCAGTTGCCCTGAGTGGGGCAGATAAGAGTGGAGGCAGGTGTGGGTGTTTCACCTTTTCTACCCACATTTTGATGTTGACGGTACCAGGAGTTGAACCTGTGACTTTCCGATCACAGGCCCGTCTTCTCTAGCCTCTGCGCCACAACTCCCCCAATTCACTCCCTAATTCAAGGCATTTATTGAGACATGTTGTCTTCCAAGATTGATTATTCAAGGATTCAAGGTTATTTATTGTCATTCGCATCGCATGGGGTACATGAGGTGGAATGAAATTGTGTACACAGGGTCCCATCCAACAATAGCAAAAATATAAAGTGTAAAAAGAAACAGTAAACAAGGATCTAAAATATAAACTAAGATGTACGCTAAACGCCCAACAGTACAGTTAATAGTGCAAAACAATACACCTAACAACAGCAGCACGATTCTTTTAGGTTCTGTTCGGCTATAGTTCACACGCTAATGCAAGCAGCGTCGGGCTCGGAGACGATCCCAAAACTAGCATGAACTGGAATTTATTCAAAGCATGCAACAAAAATACAGAAACAAGGTGACAAAAGTGAAAAAGAAATAAATCTACAGCATCATGGTCCTATTGGCAGAGTGGTTCTGATGACAGTGAAGTTCTCTTAGCAGCATGGCCCAGTTAGCAGCATGGTCCAGTTAGCAGCATGATACTGTTAGCGGTGAGGTCTTGTTAGCAGGTCCCGCCAGCAGCTTGATGATAATAAGTACCGCGGCAGCTGCCCTACCAGACAGCCCTCCAGAACCAGGTCCGGCAGACAGAGAACATCCAAAGTTTCCCTGTGGAACCGAACGGGTCCGTAGAGTTCGGTCCATGCAGGCAGATGGAGGTTCATGGAGACAGCCGCCATGACAGGCCTGAGCCTGTGATGGGAAGGACTGAACCACGATGGCACGATGGAAAGGCAGCAACACAGAAAACTCCACAAGTGTATCGCGGTCATACCCGTACTGTTGATGTACATTTTAGGAGAAAAAGCAAGTTACAACAAAAGCAACAGGAACATACAAAGATCGAGTTCACCAGGAACCTGTGAAGCTGCCGCTTAGCTGAGCGTGGCCATCTTGGCTAATTCCAAGCTCTAGCTCTGGTTTGACAACCAAAAAATCAAAATAGTTTAGAAAGAGGTACACTTCTATACATAGTATACATATTGTGTATATACATACCCAATGTATACTTTGTCACATAATGACATGCAGATATTTAATAAACATCTTTAATCTGAATCTCCTTTCACTAGAAATGAGCCTTTGTTTCAATGAGCTGTAAAGGGACCAACAAATGTTTCTGTAGTGTACTGTATGAATAAATAAATGCATTTTTTATACTTAAGTGACATAATTTGCTTGCTTTGTCGTTTTGTCTGTAATATTATCATCTGACAATCTCATACCTTGGCTTTCAGCAACAAGAGAAAACCCAGGAGCAGTGGGGCGAGATGATATTTTTGAATATTTATCCTAACATTGCTTCGTCAGCGATAAACAGTCGCCGGCAAATTACTTTTTGGTTCAGAGATAACGGCGGCAGTGGACAGAATGCTGACGAACAAACTGAGTGGAGGCGACGCAGCAGAAGAACGTGTCTATCCAACATGCAGCTGTGACATTTCATTATTATAAGTTGATGTCATTGTCTTATGCGAGCGTTAGCGGGGTTATTCTTCTGCAGGATCCAATAAATGTGAGTTTTTATAGTCTTTTTGTTGAGCTGCTTTTAAGAGACTCAAAATGACTGTTTGATTTTGGAAACATTACCAAACCTTATCTCTGTGCACACATCTGCTCTCGCACATACATCCACAGCTGATCAGGTCTCAGGTGCAACGGTGCATACAAAAAAACCCTTCCAATTTAAAAAGCAATTAGATCAGAGGAGAAAGCAGAGAATCCACCATGTTATCAAATCAAAAACTGCACATTTCTATTTGCTTAGAATGATCTTGCTTGTCCTTTCTTTTTATTTTCAGTTTACCTCTGTCTTGCTTTTGACTCCGCAGCATTGCAGGATAAGTCTTATTGTTCATCTCCCTTTAAAACCTGAGCGACAAAGCCATCTTTTAGATCTAGTCATAATTTCTGAGGTACAATTTCTTGTTTTTGGCCAGGTACACAGATACGTAAGCCTCATAAATGCCTTGGATTTTTACCTTTCATCACCAGCCCTGTTAAATAGAAATAAAATGCTGGTGAGGTCATAATAAAGGATTTTCTTGACGTGTCATAACTGGGTCAGTTTCTACAATTAGCAGCAAAATGTAGGTTATAGCAGCATAACAGAAACAAAAGGAGACTAATGGGAATCACCACTTAAATAGAACCAGATGAACATTACCAAAGTCAAGATTTGTTTGCAGCGTATTTAATTCTTTGTGCGCATTTTGTTGTTTTACAGGTTATTTTGATCTTTTACAATGAAGCATTCAGTGACTTCTAATTATTTTAAGGGGCAGAAATGTTCAGGTTGAAAGAAAAAAATCAACAGCAGCAAGTAATGAGTAAAAATTAAGGAATTAAAAAAAATTACAATAGATCCTAAACTACTGTTAAGCTGCTGCAAAGCCAGAAACTGCCATCTGTTTATGCTATACAGACACATGCATTGTCAAAAGAATGCTGCGGCTTTTTTCCCCGAGTGCCATGTTTTCCTCTTAACTCAACCCAAGGAAAGATGATAACTGTGTCTGATCAAGAGATCACTGTTGTGGTGTCTGGATGACTGTGCCATATGTGTCCTGCCAGCCGCATGCCGCCTGTGTCCTTTTCATTGTGGCCACAGGGGCCGCTCATACTTATCTGCATAATGAAATTACCCACAGCAAGGTCTTTCCACGGATGAATCAACTTCTCCACTTCTGAGGCAATCACTGCTATTATTTCTAACCTTTGCCTCCATAAATGGACTAGATGTGTTGCAGAATATGGTTGTGTGGACTCATACTGAATCCCTCTATAACCTTTAAAAGATGCATAAATAAAATACAAATAGTCGACTGTTCTGCCCAAATTTTAACCTCTGTTGTAGATTTTGTGTTCCATAATTTATCTCTGATATTTAGCCAGGCATAATTTCCTTGGAAGCAGATTTGAAACAATACATTTGATTTTGAAAATAAAGAGGTTTGGAGTGGTTTCTTATAATTATACAGCGTGTCTCATGCATATGCTAATTTCATTGAGACACACTGATTTACTAAAGACATACAGCATAACTGTTGGATCAAAGAATACTTATACGGTGGT